GGCCTCGGAATCACCAGGCGCCGCGCTGGTCCACATGCAGGATCGGCCTCGGAATCACCAGGCACTCTGTTCGCCTTGCTTATGCTTTTGTACACAGAGTTCTGTGGTGGAGACAAACGTGAATGAGGCCCCATTATCTCCCCCACTTGAACCCATGCCAAGGCAGGCAGGGGAGGCCCGGGGGGCCGAGGCTTGTTTGGCGTTCCCCTGGTTCCTCTGCACACATTCTGCTCCTTTTGACTTGTGCATATTTTAGCTCCGGATTACTGCCCAGCAGCAGAGCTGCTACAGACGCTAACAGGAGACGATCGGCTGTCTGTGGGTGAGCCAGCACTCCGGCTCCGGAGCCTCTGACTGCTCAGCAGCCTCATCAACATTCCATTTGCTCCTTTTTTAAATTTTATTTTTTGTTGGTCAATTCCTCAAATAGCCTAAACAAAACATTAAAGTTTGCCTGGGAGTTTCACGATTTCAGCCCCCTCCAAATGCTCATTTCTCATGTTGTCCAAACATTTGCCATCTTACCGTGATAACAAGGCCTCTGTGTTCAGTTTCGCTGGAAATGGTGTGACAGTTGCTATGGTGCTGCGTTTTGACTCTCGGCATTGTGGGTAATTCTCATACGGCTTAAATGGTGGCTTTGTTATGTGCTACTCCTGTTTCGCTCTGGACTTCACCCTTCAGTTAAAATTATTAAAAGTTATTTTAAATTTAGTCTGGGAGTGTGACTTGGAAAAAACAGACATATGGCCAGCTGTGGAAATTAGGTGTTCAAAGGCAACCTTTTTGTATGGAATGGGCGGAATGAACTGGAACAACTGTTTTATCCTGGCCTGCCGAAGGCCCACACGAAGAGGTCCTTCTGTTGTCCCTCCTCAGGGAAGGCTGGAGACCCGGTGCCCCATCCATTCCCTCACTGGCTCCACATGCTAGTGTTGTCAGTGGGACGGTGGCTAGAACCAGGACATATCTCTTCAGTCACCTGAAGGGCGCCGGTTAGGATGAACTAGCCTGTCGTTGTGTGAGCTCCTCCCTCAGCGTTCATGGGTGTGGTGTCCAGGCTGATGCTCGGAGCTCACCCCCAGCTGAGAGGGTGGATCCCGGCCCTTTGAAACTCTGTAACTGCCCCCAGAATGGAGCAATCTGCTGTTAGAACATGGTTCCTGCTTCTCCCACTACCTTGTCATTTAGGTGGTTCCTGTTTTTACAGACATGAAAATGCTTGGTCGTAGATCCCAGTAGCTATAACACATTGATGCTAACAGTGTTTTTCTAACCGGACCTTAGGGAACCCCCAGACTGCCCGTGTTTTTGTAGAAATGTGGAGTGTCTGGCAGGGAGCTGGGTGGGAGTGTCAAGGGGTTCCTGAGGACCAGCTAGGAAACACCGGATTGGAACAGCCGTTGTGTGAGATCCGCTTCCTGAATGATCATGTCCCATTTGGGAGCTTTGCTCACCCGATTAAAGGATGCACCTGCGAAATGGGGGTGCCGTCACTGACGTTAAATTCCTTGCACTAACATAATCTTAAACTAGCAATCAGTGCCTTTTTCCTTTTTAAAAAGGCTTCTTTGCCAAGAAATGAATGCCAGTAAGGTGAAGTAATTTGAAATTGGCCGATTATAACTGGCGGGTAGCCCCGTGACCTCACCTCCCCCGTGTCTATGTGTGGAGTCTGAAGGGTCTGCCCATGTTTTTGAGTCTTCTGGTCTCCTCGTGTCTCTAAATCCCCCGCATTCTGTCTCTTTGCCTTACAATGACCCCCCCCCCCATCCATCCAGGGTACCCCCTAACTTGTCCTAAAACTTCCACTGTATGGAATATAAGATGGATGAATTGCCTAGCAAAACACAACAACAAAGGAGGGACTGACTTCACGTTCTTCATCTCTGTTGTTAAATAAAACATAAGTTCCTGTTAATTCAGCCTGTGCGCTCACCTGTTAGAAATGTAAAGCTGAATCTGCCAGCTCGCCCCGCACCCCCCCACACACCCCAGTGTTTATTTTAACCTCACAGACATGTAACCGAGCTTCAGCGATGTGCTGTAATGAGTCACAGTCGACTTGCATCTGACACCCTCCCCCCCCCCCCCAGATTGACACACCACGGCTCTGTCTTAGGCTGTGAATCTCACAGGGGCCTTACTACAGAGAACAGAGACGAAATTCTCCTGGGGGGGTGTTTGGATTCGGACTGAAGAGGCAGTTACGGTTCAAGGGCGCCCTATGCAGCATGTATAGACTGTGAAAGGTTTTCACAGAATACACTGTGATCAGATTTCAGTTTTGCTGCTTCTTTTGTGTTCAGATAGTATAAAGTTTGTGGCTGTAAGGGACTGGGGTTAGACTTGTTTTGTTGGATCAAAACCATCTGGTCCATCTTTCCAAGTCAGAGCTTGTCTTCTTGATGTAGATAAAAGTTGCTGGAGGATTGACAGGCACACGCTGTCCCGGCAGTCCAACCCCAATGTGAGCGGCAAGCCGGCGTTGGCCCCAGCGTGGCATTGCTACATGTACTGTGTGCCCTCCTGTCTTTTAGTTACGCTCCCCCATAGCACAAAGGCAAAGGAATCCTAAATGTGAGATGGAATATAATGCAGCTTTTACATTTTAACTACCGTGTCGGGCAGATGCCGGGGAGGAGTACTTTGAGTACGACGCAGAGGAGTTCCTGGTGTCCCTGACCCTGCTGATCACAGAGGGCCGCACCCCGGAATGTTCCGTGAAGGGCCGCACCGAGGGGCTCCACTGCCCGCCTGCGCAGACTGCGCAGCCTGCCCACAACAGACACGACTGCAGCGACAAGCTGCCGCAGGTAGGAGGCGTCAGGGCTGGCGTATAAAAATGCACACAACGTTTATGTAAATGCGCATGATCTGCATTTAGGGTTCGGTAAAACAACTGACCGTGCACCAAAGAGCAACACGCTGCTAGTTATATGCTCATCCTGAAATCTTAACAAATCACATCCAACCAAGGCAATTTGCAGAAAGTAATACATGAATGAAAAGAATGGAATATAGCTCAATTGATTATGCTTGGTGTGTCATGTGTCTGTTTATCACACTTGGCCTCCAGCAAAAAGTAATTATGTATTTGTGGTGAAGGTTTTTTAAAAAAAAAATAAAAAATCTTTCCCTGCTCCATAGTATTGCGATCCAAGCCTAGCAACTCTCGAGCCTCTTGTGCTTGCTGTTCGTTGGCCATCGGCTTGGGCTGTTTTGACCCGCCTTCCCAAATCCCCGCCCCCACCCCCCATAGTGCCGGCAAGCCCGGAAGACGCGGTCGGAGGTGATGCTTCTCTGGAGGAATAACATCCCCGTCATGATCGAGGTGATGCTGTTGCCCGACTGTTGCTATAGCGACGGGGGACCCACGACGGACGGGAACGACCTCAACGATCCTGCCATCAAACAGGATGCGCTGCTGCTGGAGAGGTGGACCATGCACCCTGTTCCCAGGCAGTACGTGTTGCTGGTCCTTCGGTCTGGAGAAGGGTGTGGCTGGGCACAGTGGCAGGTTGTTTCTGATGTACAGTGTTGTGGTGTTCTGAAGGTTTGGAACCAGCCACAGGTCCTCTATGTCCTATGCTCACTCAGTTCCGCCTTGAGTTATTACCTTAAAGCTTCTATGTATGGGACGTCGATAATGACCGCGATAATTTTCCATAGTAGACAGCACTGAGTGTCTGCTTTGCCTCTATGAGCAGGAGCGGGGATCGCTTCATTGAGGAGAAGACCTTGCTTCTGGCCGTCCGCTCCTACGTGTTCTTCTCCCAGCTGAGCGCCTGGCTCAGCGCTTCCCACGGGATCGTGCCCAGGAACATCCTGTATAGGTGAGCGAAGCACATGATGCACTGACCATTGCTTGAGTGCGTCCTAGGTGAGGATTATCTATGAATAACCACAATGAAATAGGCCAGCATATTATGGATTCAGCATCTGAAAGACTTTCAGAACAGGTTTTCTTTGCTTTGTTTTTTTTCCAAGACATGTTGGCTGATTACTGGTTTTATTTCCTGTCCGGCAGGATAAGCGCAGCTGATGAGGAATTGGTGTGGCATTTTTCCCAGCCCCCAACCGAGCATGCTTTTCCGGTTCCCAACATCTCTCAGAGTGTAGCCTTGAAAGTCCGCGTCCAGTCCCTTCCAAGACAGCCCAACTATCCAGTCCTGAAATGTAGTATCCACACCAGCCTGAACTTCTACGAGAAGAGGGGCCGTGACCGTGATAGGAAGCCCCCTCAACGGTGCGACATCAAAGACGCCAGCCAGCTTCACAGCCGAGGCTCCTCCCCCTTTGCTCGCCCCACCCACTCCCAACATGGAGTTGGTGGCTCCAGGATTAGCCAGTGCCCTGAAGTCCTACCTCCCAACAAACCAGCTAAATGGCTCCACCCAACATTGACGAGAGCTCCCAACACTCAGCCATCAGAGGGTCATATGATGTCAGCCAACGGCACAGAAGCCTCCAAGGTGCTAGCCCCTGAGATGCCAGTGAGATCTTTCAAATCCCTCTCCCTGGTGGACCACCTGACGACACCCAGCCCCAGCCTCAGGCCTCAAGTGGGGGAGACCAACCCCCTGATCGGTAGCTTGCTCCAGGAGAGGCAGGAGGTCATTGCCCGAATCGCCCAGCACTTGAACTATTGTGCTCCCTCTACCCCACACATCCCTGACAGTCTGTTTGGCAGCATGCCGATCCAAAGCCCAAAGTCCTCCTGGGTTCCACCCACTGAGGACGTCCTACTGAAGAAAGCCAAGGAGACCCACTGCACAAGCTACAACAGCACCCACCCAGAACATGTGCATGATGTCAAGAGTGGACCCTCTGCCTCGGACACCCCTTTGCGTCGCCCATATGTCACAGGTAAATCTGACAGTGAGTCCAGACTTTCCCCGAAACTGGCCACCTGTAGGAAGTTGGTTTTACCTGACCCCACCGAGAACTCAAGGATATCAGACGTGGTGCAAGATATCTCCAGACTCATCCAGGACACCTTCCAGCAGTCTCAGAGCAGATGTAGTAAGCTCATGCAGGGGGCACATGTAAATTACAACGGCGTATTGAAATCGGCAGAACAGAATAAGGAGCCGTATAGTCAGCAGAATCTTCAGGGGCGGTCTGAGGCTCCCTCCCCAGACCAAGCCAGTGCAAACGGCACAGACTCAAACATTTGCACAGATTCGAGATGTGGCAGACTAAAAGTCACAGACAGCACCTGTCAGAGACATTCCCATGAGCATCAGAGCACAGCCCTCGCGAAACTGGAAGAAACGCTGTTCAGACCAGAGCTGAAAGCTTCGGACAGCTTGCAGAACACCAGGAAGAGCAGCTGCGGCTCGTCGGGTGCCCTAGGGAGACCTCGGCGACACGAGGAGCCTGCTCAGCAGGGCGGCTCCAGGCTGGCTCGAGATATCTCCCCTAAAAGTGTCGCTGGACCCATAGGTGTGGATCTGCAGGTGCGTTCCCAGCCTCAGGACGAAAACGTGGACCCCTCCGTAGTTGGGAGCCCTACCGGCACTGTCCACAGAACCCCAGCCAAGGAATGTCTCCAGAATGGTGATGTTCTGGTGAGTCTTTGATGTGGAGGACAATAAAAAATCATCTAAACATCATCTATACACTCAGTCTGCGTCAGAAATATAGATTGTGAACATATGATTAATATACCTTATATCACTGGATATGAAAAATGTGTATTTTTTTTATTTCTGTTTCATTAATAGATAATATTACTGTTTTGCGTACAGAGAACAAGTACCCAGTTCACCTTGAGAGCGCACAATTTGTGGAAGAGACAGAATCGCCACTCTATAGATGGGACGGCTTTCCACCCCTGCACTGGACTTCCTCTGCTTTCCAGTCCTGTGAGTCTCTCCCGGGTTTGCATTTCACAACTGTTGGACGTAGATGCATTTGTGTATTTTTAACTCTCATTCTGACGCCCACTTGTCTGTCTGCTTTATATATTCAAATGGCATGTAAAGTCCAGTCCCTGTTGTTGTCTTTGCCATCAGCACTGGGCGTCTAGTCTTGTGCCGATGACTTAATCCAGTATTGCACTTTCTTCAGGGATGGGTGGACAGAACTGTGGTTTCTGCATAGTTAGATAGGAAACAGAGGCACACTTTGCCTTTGGGCGTGGAGCTCTTCTTTAGAAACTGGTTTTACTGACTGGCCATGGGACTCTATTGGACTTTATTATCTTCTCCATGAGTCCAGAATCGTCTTCCCCTGAAGCAGCTTTTTTCACTATATGTTCTGTGTAAAAGTTGAATGAGTATAGTTATAGTATGTATCTTTACCCAACTCCTTTAACAATCAATTTTCATATTCTGCCATGACTGTGGCTCCTAGTATAGAGAGTCATCATAAGGACAAGTAGTTACTCTAGTACATCCATTATCCTGAGAATATTTCTTAGCTTGACATAGCGTAACAAAACAGCTTTGTTGTAATCAATGAAACGCATGTTGACCCTCTTCTGGTATTCATTGGTTTATTCAGCCATCCTTTGTGCGTCAGCAGTGATGTTTCTTGTTGAATGATGTCTCCTTCCAGAACTCAGCTCATATATCATTCAAACTTTCTGTATAGGGCTCTGCTTATTGGCAATACATTTACTTTGTTTGCCCTGTGTATTACTGTCTTTGTACCTTATCTGTTTGGCACTACATCCATGTCCGGCTGTGCATTATGTTCTTGGTGCTGTTTGCACCAGAAGTTCCCCCAGGGATCAGTCAATCTTAATCTCTTACTTACTGCATTGAATGATCTTTAACAAAATCTTAGTTCTATGCAAAATAAGGAAAATTGTACAGTAGTCTGCACACTCCTTCATGTCTCCAGTCTTTGGTATAGGAAAATGAACCAGACTGTTCTAATCTTCTCTGAGCTGTTTCCCAGTTTTGTTGGGATACCGTATTTTCAGCACTATAACGCGCACTGCATTATAAGGCGCACCGTCAATCAGTGGTCTATTTTCAAACTTTTTCCACATACAAGGCGCACCGGACTTTAAGGCACTTTAAGCAAAACAAAACAGTCAGATAAGCCAGTCAACCAAAATTTATTTTACATCACGTGTTCACAATGACTGTCAACATTGTTCAAACGTTTATGAGCGTCTTCACTACTCTTTAACACGTAAAAAAACAAGAGTCTTATACCGCTAAATCAAAAGTCAGCCTATTAACAATAACTGTAGCCTTAATGCTAGTGGTGCGGCTTTGCAGTTTACCAAAGTCATACTAAAACATTCAAATCGCTTCGAGTTCAGTATGCACAACAAAAATTAATCCACGTTTAAAGCGCACTGGATTATAAGGCGCACTGTTATTTTTTTAAGAAAATCAAAGGCTTTTTAGTGCGCCTTATAGTGCGGAAAATACGGTAAGTTGGTCAACACTTTGATTCTTCTTCGGTTGCTTGCGACATTTCTGTTGGGATGGCATCTGTTCTAATGGCCTTCCAATTAGGTAGTGGTCTCAACGATAATCAGACGACCTCTTCTGTCTGCAAAACCTTTTCTGTTTCTGTTAATGCCTTTGCTTCAGAGGTCCTCTCTTATTTTATGTATTCCATCAGTCTCTGTTGATCTTTAAGTGTAGAAAGAAGTTGTGTTCATTTGTATTGCATTCGTATATTTTTCTGATTGTAAAAGTGTTGTGATGATACATTGCATTTATGTATTTGTTTAATGCTGTCATTTTGTGTAACTAAAAATGTGCTACATATGTATTTTTCAGGTTCCTCAAAGAAAGTCACAGAACGGGTGCTTCGACTTGGATACATCTCTGCTTCGATACAATGGTCTGCCATTGGCTGCTAATAGAAGGTACTGCTAACATGCTTCACAAATGACTGCAAATGTCATCTACTGTACTTTCTATTGGCACGATTTCAAAATACCAGAATAGCATTGCTTTAGAAAGCAACATCAAAATACCGTATAGATATGTCTGGGGAAATATGAAAATTGCATACTGCCCAAGTCTAATTATGTGCTTGTTCTGAAATCACTGCCTACAACATATTCCCAAAAAACTTGAGACAGGCAGTTTAGGACTGATAACAATGTGGCAAGTTGAAATAAGATAATGTGAAACTGGTTATGTTAAAAAGCTGAAGCAGTCATGTAGCAGGATATAAGGAACCTTCAAAAAAAGGTCTAGTCCTTCAAGAGCTAGGATGGGTTGAGGCTTGCCAGTTTGCCCACAGATGCGCCAGGGAATAATACAGCTCTTTGAGAAAAGCGTTCCCCAAAGACAAATCAGTAGGGTTTTGGATGCTTTACTCTCTATAGCGCACAATATAATTAAAACATTCAAGGAATCAGGTCAAATCTCAGTGCGTAAAGAGCAAGGCCGAAAAGCACTTCTGAATGTGCGCGATCTCCGATCCCTCATGCTCCTTAAAAGCCCTTCAACTGTCTGTAATGGATATATGATGACATGGGCTCAGTAATTCTTCAGTAAACCATTGTCAGTCAACGACATTTGCCACTGCATCCACAGATGCAATTTAAGGCTTTGCTATGCAAAGCAGAAAGCTACACATTGACCCTGTCCAGAAGCACCAGGAACTTCTTTGAGCTTGGCCTTGTCTGCGACGGAGAGTAGCACGGGGCAATCCTGTCTTCTGGCCTGACTAGTTAACGTTTTTGGTGATCAGTTCGCAGGCTGTTGACGTGTGATGTAGCGGTGCTGGAGTTAGCCATAAGCTAACCATGCCTGCTCCCCTCTGCTTTGTGTTTAAGAGCATGTCGGAAGCGGGAGGCCGGCCAGGATGAGGGGGAGCAGCAGCAGCTGAGCACAAGCGCACCTTCAGGGAGCCTCAGCCTTCTGGGAAACTTTGAGGTAATTCGGGGCCCCGCCCCCAGCAGCTGTGGCACCTTGACCTAGAAATCAGTGATTTAATGTTTAGTTAGAAACCTGTGGGGTTATGGTTTGCTAATGATGCCATTTGTAATTTTCTTATAATTAATAAAATATGTAATACTTCCTACCATCAGACTCACTGGTCAGTACTGGGTATGGGTACTAAGTAAAACACCGCCACGTGATTCCTCCGTACACCACGATATCAGTTTGTTGGCATCAACATCACATCTCCACAGGAATGTGTGCTCAACTACCGCCTGGAGCCCCTGGGCACCGTCGAGGGCTTCACTGCTGAGGTGGGGGCCAGCGGGACGTTCTGCCCGAGTCACATGACCTTACCAGTCGAGGTGTCCTTCTACAGCGTCTCCGACGACAACGCCCCTTCTCCCTACATGGTTAGAAAACCAGATGCTTTTAATCAGCGATTGACTCACCTAGCTTAGATAAAGCCTTTCCTCTTTCTGTCCAGCATTTTTTTTATATATTACCACCTGCTTTTGTTAAGACTATTCAGTCATTCTTTTCCCCTATAATCTTTTTTTATAGGGTGTCATAAATTTGGAGTCTCTCGGTAAACGGGGGTATCGAGTGCCTCCATCAGGAACAATTCAAGTGGTGAGAGCTTCATTTTTTTACCCATAAGCTAATGTGCTCTTTGTCAAGCCTCCTGCTAAAAGTGATTCCTTTGTGTACATGGGATTTGAATTAAAAAAGAAACAGATTCAGATTCCCAGAGATTCCATTCTAATCGCTTATTTCAATCACCTATCTTAAAAGTATAACAGTATCACCTACACAGCAAAGTTAATTTTTTCCTGTCACTTAATCTGAGATTTGATACTGCTGTCACAACACAATTGCCGCAGTTTCAGGAGAACAAATGAAATAACACGACGGGTTCTTCGACCAGTAGAATACACACACAGCTCACAAATAAAGAAAATGTGCCCCCTAGTGTTGGGTGGTAGCATACTACAAATTATATTTTAGTGCTTATTCAAATGCTGCATTTTATTACTTAAAACCAGTTATGTGAAATGTATGCTGTGATTGTTTTAATACTATATTATATATAAAAAGTAAAAAAAACAATTAAGACTTTAAATTGAAAATTTTTTTGGACATGAATCCAACAATTTCCCTTCTCTGTTCCCTGACAGACCTTATTCAACCCAAACAAGACGGTGGTGAAGATGTTTGTGGTGATCTACGATCTGAGACAGATGCCAGCCGGTCACCAGACATTCCTGCGACAGAGAACCTTTTCTGTTCCTGTTAGGCGGGAAGCCAACGGCAGCAAAAAGCCCCTCCCATTAAGTCAGGAGAGGACTCTGCGCTACCTCATTCACCTGAGGTAACTCAAACTGCTCCGTTACCTGCTTAGCCAGGGTCTTAGCAATGCAGTAGTAGAGTAGTAGTGGAGATATGCTTTGACTTCATTTCTTCTAAAGAGAGGTGAATAGTTCAAGTCCGGAAAGTAAAAGTTCAGACCAAAATATTTATTTCAAGCAACCAGTTGAGCATAGTCAGTCATAGAGTACTCGACTGGTTGGTTGGGAAAAAAAAAAGTCTTGGTCCAGATTTGTACTTTCTGGACCTGAACTATCCACCTCTGCAGTGCTTCACACTGTGTGTTGTTCCTAACGCTGTGTCACCTGACACATGATAGAATAACCTCTTCCACTGTCTCAGGTTCCAGAGCTCTAAATCTGGAAAGATCTACCTCCATAGAGACATTCGACTTCTTTTTTCTCGCAAATCCATGGAAGTGGACAGCGGTGCTGCCTACGAGCTCAAGTCCTTCACAGAGTCCCCAGCCGACCCGCCCTTCTCTCCCAGATGCTAACCCTCAGTTTGAGGCACCATCCTAAAAAATATATGACTTAAAAATATATGAGACAGTTTAATTTTCAGTGGGGTGCTTTTCTCTAACATGGAAAAAAAATTCAGTTGCTGATAGATTTTATTTTTGATTGGCCAATGGATGAGTTTTAATTTCAACTTCAGACCTTTTCAAGTCTTTGGTGTTTGTTAGTGTCGTAGAAGCATCACACATTGGACTGGGCTTTGGGGCAGTAATGAAACAAGCAGTTGAGCCAGAATAAGTTACAAGATGGTGTCAGAAGAGCACTGTGTATTTCCAATTTAACTGGAAATTGATAAGATCCTTTGTTTGTACTGTTACAGAACCACATTATCGGAAGAGTTGCAATATAAAGAAATGACCTTACTAGCTTAGTCTTTACATTTGTTTCAGTTATTTAATATTTAAATCATTTCATTTACTGCACCTGTGACATTTGTCATGCTACGCATTATGATGTAGGGCAAAAGTATATGTAAATCATACAATGTATTTTTTGAGGGTAATATTCAGAGCTGAAATATAGATATAAAGCAATCTTTAAACATGCACACGTATCTGCATATTTCTTTATTTTAAGCAAAGAATTTGAAATAAATTTGACCATCTATATTCAGTTTATCTACCGTCATGTATTTTTGTTGGAGTTTTATGCATTTTTTTATTTTTTATTTTTTTTTAAGGGTTTGAGTTGTGGTGCATAGGGCACTGAATCTTCAGCAATAATTTATGATCCATTTCACCATTCTGCCAATTTTATATTTAAGTATGCATCTGAGCAATAATATGAATGAGCAATTATGTCCTATTACACTAACTTGGCAATACAGTGGACCCTTGACTTATGAACTCAATTCGTTTGCGAGGGCTGGTTGTAAGTCAAGACTGTTTTTCCCATAAGAAATAATGGAAATACCCATAATGTGTTATACCTCCCAAAACACCCCTTACCTAAGCTTTTCATAATAAAAAATGGTTGTATAATGTGTGTAATTTACCAGAAACACCAATAATTTTCCTAGTGTACTCACCAAAAAGTTATAAAATGTGCCCAGCCTACCAAAAACAACAATTTCATACTGTACTCACCATTCAAGTTGACATCTTTGGCTTGCAGGAAGGGTGGAGGGGGAGGATGAAATGGAAGGTGATTATTGTTTGGAAGGAGAGTAGAGATTGTCGAGATGGTGGATTTCGAAATGCTGTACATATTAGCGAGATCGGTCACGAATGCAACTCTCATATTTCTGCACAATTTCCTTCTTTTCGATTGTGATTGATTTCTTTACCTTCTCTTCCTTCCTTAGCTTCTTTTCTAGCTTTTTTGGGGCCATTTTGATAGCAATTAGTGAAATTAATTATATAAAGCACTGCACTGACCCAAGTTATGTCCACAAATACGCGTAGACCGATGCTTACGGACGCATCTCGGGTGTTTGTTTACAACTGCACAGGCGGATACATGTTTTGGCCTCGACCAGCATTCGGGTCGTAACTGAAGACTTTGGTTGTACGTCAAAACTAAAATTTTGGTCGTAACCCGTTGTTCGTATGTCAGGCCGGTCATAACTTGAGGGTCCACTGTAGTTATGTAACAGCAATTCTATATAATGAGGGTGTATTGGTACATGCGGCAAGCAGATATAAAGCATCAGTCAGTTGACAATGATGAGACAGAATGACGTGCTTAAGTACTTGGGGCTTAAAGAACTGCACCTCCCCGATTGTCTCCTGGACATCAGAAATGACAAACTAAGAATCACCATTGAAAGAACATTGGTAGGAATTAACATTTTTTCAATCAATACTGGGGAAAATTCTGCTTCCAAAAGCACATGCAAAAGAGATATGTGAGCTGAATGGCCTCTATCAGAATTCCTGGGTCAAATGGGAATTTGCTGCACCTATTCCAAGGACACCCCATCACAAAAGCAGGCTGAAAAACACAGTCAAGCACATAATGAAGTGCTGGCTGTATGTACACATAAACTGCCTGTTGACTACCAGTTTGACTTGTTTCTGTCAAAGATACATCTGCAGATTCATTAACCTTGGCATGTCTTTGACATGAAGTCACTTAAAATGGAGAAATCTGTACAAAATTATATGCAATAAGTATGACATTGCCATTTCACGCTAAAAGCCGTGTATTATGCGTTTTCCAGTGTAGGCTAAAAGAGCAATGGTTTAAACAACTGGCTCAACTTCCATCAGAGAAACACACAATATACAAATTACATTCCATGGCTAATCAGTAATCCACACATGATTTATTTCAGTTAACTATATACATGCTTGTGTTAAAATACAAATGCCTGTTTAAAAACCATTACATTATGGAGGGCTAAGAGTGCCAAAATTAAATAAATAAATACACCAATAATTAATTAATTAAATGTGCCATGAATTGTTTAAAATGGGAAATATAAAGTTATTTCAGTGTATTCCCGCAAGTGTAGATTAATGTCCTTGCATGCGGTTTATTTTGAGTCTCAAGTGGATCCTATATGTTACACGTGTCTATTCAAAGTTAATTCACACCTTAAATCCCAATTGAAGACCTCTAATTCACCTACGGATAAATATTGCTATACATTTTTCATTTCATAATATTTCAATATTTAAACAAGCTTAATATTATTATTAATAGGCTGTACAATAATTCAAATATTGTTTATGTTATTTTATATGTTAATTAGCCAGAACACTATATTCAAAGAGGGGCGTCCATCACTATACGATTTGCATGAGGTTTATCGAGTAATGTACATTTAACAATGTATAAACGCATTTTATTATATAAAATGTTTTTTTGCCCGTTATGCGTAAATCCGCAGAAAGATGCGATGAATAAAATACATTTCCCATAATGCTCCTGTAAGTTTACGAGGCTAATCAGACGAAACAAAATATTTCACTGGGAATATTTTAAAGGTTTATTTCGTACACTTTAGTACATACCGTGTGTCGAGTATTATAACTTTGTTTGACAATATAAAATAAGGCTATGAATGTAGATCGTAAAAATGCTGGCACAGGATGACGTTAAATGAGGCAGCCATTTCTTTCGGGGGGAAACGACGGTGTGTTTGAAAGACCGATCAGTCCGGAGCAGGGCTGAGCTGCTGGCGGTGTCCCTTTGGGTTTCTGTTATATTTATTTACAATTATGTCTGAGGAAATCGAGGAGACGAAAACTGCCGAAGAAACGTCCACCGAGGAACAAAAGGTTTTTTTTAATGCGTTATCTTGTGTGTTTTGTTAGCTAGCTAGTTTTACTGTCTAATCAGCTAACGACGCAAAATTATGTGCACGCCTGAAACAAGGCAGGCGCCTGGAGCGTCAGAATAATGACTGACATGATTAATATAACAGTATCTTTACATTTTCCTAACACGGACCTGCTGATGCTGGCGTGCAGTGCAGATGCGGCTCTCTGGCGTGGTTACGGGCGATCGCCCTGAACGCCTCGACCCTTAAATGCTGTACGTTGTTGTGCAAGTAAGCCAGCTCGTTTGGGAAATGGGAAGAAATGTCGGGCGATCCGGGCCCAGTGTAGCTGCGGTGCTGCGGGTCGTTTGGGGCTGAACTTTTAACGCGTCGCGCCTCTTTTCTCGTGTTTCTCGTATTCCCATGACTGGCGCGTGCCCTCTGGACGGGCTGTAGGCGGGCAGGATCCGCAGTCACGAAGGGCGCATGGGCCCCAACTGTCCTTTTTGCCGTGTCACACCAGGCAGGCCATTTCAGTATTAATATTATATAAACGGACCGGTATATATCATCATTTATTTGGTGTAGCGGACATCGGTTACTCGAGCTAAAATACGGCTGACGTGGCCTAGGCGTTTTGGTGAAGAGATTCGGATTGTCCGCAATGTTGTATATTAAAGCAGCATGCAACGTTTAACTTTTAGATGATCTTGAAACGGTCCGGCGAACTGATCCAATTCTGACCGCGCTATTTGCGTAGCTTGATGTCCCCGGTTCAGAGCGAGCGGGCGGTGACGCTGCGCAACTTGCGTAACGCCGCGGTGACCGCGTGGTCTGTGCGCGGTGGCATGAAGTCTTAGGTGAAACATTTTGAAGGGAACACGCCGATTGATGGGTGATTTACATGTAATCAGCTAACAGTCTCACACTTTGCGTTTTACTTGCTTGTTATATTGGCATAAAACTCACTTTGTTAAAGAGATGTACGGAAACGATCATCTGTTCTGTTAATTGACATTTCTCAGAGGACCGGCTATCCATAGCACTTCCCTGGGTTAGGCAACGTGGTCTTGAGTGCACGGACATTTAAATGGATTTAACGTGAAATACATAGGTTCTGCCTAGTGGCAATACGATTGGCACTCATCTTTTGAAGTCTCACGCCGTTTGATGATATAGTTTTCTCGACAGTTTTATTCTCTGTCAAAAATAATCTGGGGGTGTTACACGAAGCAGGATTTCTTCATTAGCCAGGTAAGCCAAATGTAAGTACTGTCCTGTAGGAATGACACTTACACCTCTCTTCCTATTGGACATTTTTCATGTTTGGCTTAAGTTGTCCAGCTAACCGTGGAACACCTCCCTGGTATGATTATTCTTGTGGCATTTTTGCAGAAAATTAAAATGCTGTTCCTCCCACAATCCTTTGTTGAAGTAGATTTTTTTTTTTTTAATCTTGTGTTTACGTTTGTCTGTGTCCTGTTGCCTGTTAAAATGTTAATTTCCTCTCTGTGTCGTCTATTATGTACTGTCTGCTTTTAACACTGTTTAATGACTTAATGGAGGCAGTTTATAAAGCTTTGATTTTTACCTGACTTCCTTTTCAGTGTCAGTTTGAGCTCATTGCTCTGTTTAAGGCCAAACAAGGAACAGTTCTATTTGAATGTCACTGAAGTGATTGTGGGTGTTTTGTATGTGTTTTTTTTTTTTTTTTTTTTTTTCCTCCCTTAGGCATTGGGATACTTTTGTATTAAGATTAAATGATTCATCTGTGCTTTGCCACGTAAGGAAAGCATCATAAGCCTTTTTATTGAATCAATTTATTCTGCTGAATTGACTGGTATTCATTTATTGTTTACATGCAATTAGTAATAGCTGATCCAGCCCAGAATGCTGCTGAAATCTGTTCGCTTTTATGACTCAGCAGTTCTTGCACTTTTTGCCAAGGCTCAGAAAGGCTGAGAATTGCCTCTCTGCACCTGGCATTGACTGGGTAATATGAAATCCAGTGGAGCGGAATGAGCAGGTCACTCGACGTTGCACATGCTGGCTTTCTGTCCCGTCACAATGCAGTGGCGCGGGTTCCTGTCTAAGCTCTGACCTTCACCTTTTTTTTTGTAGGAAATGGAGGACAAGATGATCAGTCCAGAGAAGGCAGAGGAAGCCAAGCTGAAGGCGAGGTACCCCAATCTTGGGGCCAAGCCTGGAGGCTCTGACCTCCTCCGAAAAAGACTTCAGAAGGGGGTAAGCTCTGCCCTTCCTCTGCGGATGCGTGAGTTTGGATATCCGGTCATTTCTCAGTTTTTACTTAATTTTTTCAGTTTGTTCTTGATTTATAACTTCCGTTTAAATCTAACTGTAGCTTCGTTCTATTTAAAAAGGTGTGTCGTTTCTGATATTAATACAGTTGGAAGTGGCTCTGAAGGTGTTTTAAGGCATCGTGTGACTTGCCTGCTGCGTGTCTCCGCAGCAAAAGTACTTTGACTCTGGGGATTACAACATGGCGAAGGCCAAGATAAAGAACAAGCAGCTGCCGGCGGCAGCCGCTGAGAAGACTGAGATCACCGGCGACCACATCCCCACCCCCCAGGACCTGCCCCAGAGAAAAGCCTCCCTTGTGGCCAGCAAACTGGCCGGTTGATGCAAGCATGGAAGTGGCACTTTTTAGTTCACATCTCATTTCCTACCTTAGTACTGTCCCCTGTCATGTTAGTACTGTCTCATTCTTTTTCCTGTCCCATTTTCTTTGTGTAAGTGCTCTGAAAGAATTTTGTGATGAGCAGGCAGACTACAGTTAAAGAATGCTGCTTGAGGGTGACCATGTAAAAAAAAAAAAAAAAAAAAAGTCGAATGTAGTCTGTGGAGAAAATGTTGTAAGAGCTAAATGAATTCTACTTGAAGATTTAAACGAACTGTAGTTGTATTGAGGGTAAATGTACGTGTGTCTTAGGTTGCGGAACCGTGGCACAAATTGATGTTTTAGTAAGTTTTACATTTTTACCATTCCATAGGTCACCTAAATGATGAAGTCAATGTGCTGTAACGGTTTAACATTTCCCCACGATGAAGTTCACGTCCCTGGTCCTATTCTGGTTCCAGTCATCTTGCATTCTTGCATTTTATACACGGGGGGGTGGGAAATGACATTTAGAAGGAACCACACAGCTATGGCCAGGTCATATTGAAAAGGAGCAGGAGGAGACACTAGGTTTTGAAACGCAGCTGCCGCCTGCCCCCATCTCAAACTATTACATGGCCTTAAAATCCCAATTCAGCTTCTTCAGCCACGCTTTTTCTTGGGCAATATTTGTCCATTTCTGGAAAACACCCCTTCCACTCCACCATGATCCTATTCAGGAACGTGGGCTGAAAACTGACCTGAAGCCAGTCTCCGTTGAGGTTTTTGTAGGTGGTGATTATTCCAGGTGTTCGAGGCGTGCACGTGCATCGACTCTACTGTCACTTCTGTGCCATTTGTTTTGTAAATAAAATAGTTTTGCACAAATCACAATTTCGTTTTTTTGCCCTATCCTACATATACTTACCAGGGGAGCTCTCCTGTGTATGTGGGTAAGAAGAGCTTTGTCCTGGCAGCGTATGGATGTGTGGGAGGAATCCATAGCAGATGTCTCTGAAGTTAACTTCGCATGTTTTATTAGCTATATAAATGCTGATCGTTAGAGGGAGCTGGCAAAGTCAAAAAATGAAAAAATAAATGATTATTGGAATTGAGTGGCCGTAATAGTAGCTGTCCTATGGCCTTGGAGAGACAGGAGAATGTTCAGTTAACTTCCCTGTGGCATCTGCTGCTTGTTGATTTCCAGCAGCTATATCTTATTGCTAGCCACCCTCCCCCCGCCCATTCTGGACCCTGACATGTCTGAAGCGCTGTGACGGTATGCTGTCTTCCACAGTGAATGTTAGCTTTTGGATCAACCCGTCCCTTTAAAAAGAAACCTTTTCGGCGCTGTTTGTAATAATCTTTTGCGGGACAATCGTTCCTTGGCTATGAGGAAGCTCAATGAGGTTAAAGTGCATTATGTCAGGGACACGTTTTAGTAGGACAGTTCTGCTGATCAATATCCGTCATATTTGCCTTTTAGAAAACGATATTGGCTGTCCCTGCCACCCATAGCAGGATAAGCGGTGTAAACCTTTTGAATAAAATGTATTAAAACCCCCTTTTTGAGATCACAGATACTTTCACAAAATGTTTGTACTGGTCGGTACTCTAAAAATACGGGGCTGGAAGAATGAAATGATTTAAACTTTTTTGCTGTTTAGGTATTTCACGTGAATGTATAATGTATGTGCCGATGTCATTTGATTAGCTCACCCTCTTTAACTAAACTAACGTTTACATGACTTTAATTAAAGCAAAACAGCGTGGATGGTAATTTGTCCAGATTCTATACTGCATAAAGTTTTTTGAATAATCTTCATAGGGGTCCGCTACAACCCAACCCATGGCCAAAGACGTAACACATCGTTACAGCTTTAGTATAACGTTCATAACTTAAAATGATTTTGGAATGTAATCATTCATTAATATCTATACAAAAGATTATATATCATATTAAGTATATATCATTTTGTTTATATGCGTTCAGTATATCTAGAATCCAATGATTCTCAAAATGAAACAAGAACATTTTTAATACACCTTTCACCATCTATATGCCTTCCATGTTTATCATTTTACAGTGAAAATACTGCGGTAAAGCAATTTTTACAAGCTATGTTGCAGAGAGTATTAGATCCATAGTAATATAACACACGACAAAACTGAAACAGGCTACTTCTCCGTATCAATGGCGAAGAAACGCCCAGTGCTTATTAACTAATTTGTGCTAAAGGAATGACGACATGAGCGAAAATGAGCCACGGCCACTAGGGGGCGGTCTTCGTGCATTTTTACCTCAAATCCAAGGCTATAGCGGCTTTTTACTGACTCATTTCATGCATCATACCCAGAATGCACAGAGAGACACTAAAATAGCGAGATTTCAGGTATCATGGCGAGCGCGGCCACTTCTTGTTGAAACATCACGTTTGACATTCCGAAAGGATTTATCTATACCTTTATTTAAGTCTCATGAAGAAAGGTGAAGTACTGATGTCCTGCTAAGCAACGCCGGAAGAAGGCTGGGTCCGCGGTCATGGCAGCGTCTGAGCTATATACAAAGGTAACCCTGAAAGCGCGTCTCGGCTGCGACTGAGGCTCCCTATCTGCAGCAAATGGTCATTTTGTCACTTTCGGACCGTGCACTCCTAAAATTACAGTTTTTAAAAATTGCTGGTTGCAGCGTCGTGAAACCACATAACCGTTTTGTGTCAGTTTCAGTGAGATGCAGGAGTATTTGTCGTGATTGAACAATAGATGTCAATGAATGAAATTTTGTTTTGTCGGCCTGTTATATATTTTAAAAAAAATTCCCCTGGTACTAATTTATTAGGGGGATAAATAAAACCTCAATGTCACACAGTCGCCGTCGCGCACCGGTGTTTCATTTCCCTCTTATAAAGCGGTCTGGACCCGGATACCTGGGTGTATAAAGGCGTTATCCTTCAAAAGCAGCTACACGATGACTGAGTCAGATTGGGCAGACGATGGCTGATAGAACGAATAAATCACACGAATGTTTCCATTGTTCGGCCGTGTTTCTGCTGTATTATCCAGTTGAATGTTTTCAGCTCTATATGGATGTCCGTATTGCACATCTCATTTTGCGCAATTCTTATTTGAAGCTTTTACGGTGGCATTTGAATAAAGATATTTGGGTGACTGTAACATTACCTCCTCGATTAGCATTTAAAAACGCCTCGGAACGAAAAGATACAATGTATCATTTTCAGCGGCAATCTGCGGGTGGGGTGCGGGGGGGGGGGGGGGGGTTGCTGAATGGTATATTTTTAGACTCGCCTCTGACAGCCCGTTTAGATACGCCTCCCAGCCAGACCCTCTACATGAACGGTGAACCGCACTGATCCCAAAGAGGCTGCATAATAATGAAACAAATATTCAGATCATTTGCACATTTGGCGATGCAGTTGTCTGATGCGTTTAACGGGCTGCAGTAAATGAGCAGCTATTTCCTTAAAGCGGAAAAACAATGATGCTGCTGTCGCAGGAATTAAAATTGCGGCGATGTGAATTTTAATGTGTGTCTGAGCGCGGTTTAAAAGTGATGCTCCTTTTTGGTGGATGAAGGCCGTTTTGGACGCACCGGATGATGGACGCTCATTCATGTTTGATGCTGTTGTTGCGGTTCTGAGCAAATGCTGCTAAACCGCAGTGCAGAAACGTTTTTAAAACATACCGTTCCTATATGATTGAATCTCTCACCCCCAACAATAAGATTTGGTTTGGCAAAATGAATATGTCCTGTTTTCGGAATTTTGTCTCTTCCTTTTTCTCTTCACGGCATCTGCGTTAAACCTTTGTAATGGTGCAGCTTCTCCGTGACCGTTATGACGATTTTGTTCATTTGAACTGAATAAAAAAATTTTAAAAAAAAATCTTCAAACTAATGCAGAAGACATTGAGGGAGCTTGCTCATGCTCCGTGTTAGCTTGCCTGAAAATAACACTGTGCAGTGAAATCAAATTCAACATTACGATTGCCTTATAGTTATTAACAATTTCTAAGGTTTATAAATCTATATGAGATTCTGAGGCTGATTTGCCTGTAAATGCGCTTCTTGTAATAAAACTGCTCTTAACAGAAGGGTTTTAAGCTTTCTGAGGCTGAGCTGTGAGGTGCTGATGTGGGCTGGGGGTGCCACCAACCTGACTGACGGCCTCAGGACACCAGCACTCACCTGCCTGAGTCTGTCACCTCCTCCATCAGGGCCGGTCCATCAGCATCTGGACGTGGGCCCGGTCTGCTCTGCTGCAATTTGCTCCTTGCTTGCTGGTTCCAGATTAGGGGTTTCTTAACAGGAAAAAGATGCAATAGCTGTTTGCCTGTATCAGATATATGTATTTCTTATAATGTATTTTGACACGTGCAGCAAAACCCGCAGAAATGCGCTTAGTTACACACAGATGCTCGTCGAGGGTGGGGAGTGCGGGGTTGGTTGTCTTTGGCGCAGCAGCTGAAATGCCGGCGGTGTGAGGAGGTGAGGCGGCCCGAGGAAAGGTTCGGGTTTCTGCGGGCTTGAATGCCACTCTGTGCCCCTGGGGCCACGGCCAGTTTCGAGCACCGCCCTGAGTGAGTTCAGCAGAACGTGAAGCCAGAGGCGTCTGGGATTATCTGTGCCTGAGTCTGGAGAACATGCTGCTTATTGTGGCCCCTCAGCAGTGAAATGAAGCTGCATTTAAGGTGTAGAAAGATAGTTATTTAACCCGCTACCCCCCCCCCCCCCCCGCACAGTCTCTAGGATTCACTCCCCAGCGTTATTGTCAGTCTAGTGTCTCTCTGGTCTTGTACTGTATGACACGGCATCAGCAAAGGCTGAAATCCTTTAATAATTTATATGTCGTCTTTGTGTGCATTTTACATGCTTGAGGTTTATTACTGCCTCTCCATTCATAAAGCCGTGATTTCTACTCTGTCATTACAGAAGTGTAGTCTGTGATTTGCGGAGCACCTATATGAATAAACAGATGTATCACATAGCTTTTGCAGCTGTGCGCTGTACTGATACCTTAGTACACCGTATCATTAGGTCTTTTTGTTTAATTATGATTCAGCCTTGATAGCTCTATTTTTTTCTCTTCTCTTTGTGTGTGTGTGTGTGTGTGTGTGTGTGTGGGTTGGTCAGGCATAGATTACATTGTGGGAGCATTTGGTCCCCACAGTGATAAAAATCATCCTTTGACATTATGGGGATCATTTTTTCGGTGTATTTGTTTCTTGCATCATTATCCTATCTTCCATTATAAACACTGGCATACATTAGCTTGTAAACATTCTTGCATCGAAAACCCATTTTTCGCTGTTCTTGAATGCATTCTTTGACTTTTATAAAAAAAAAAAAAAACTTATTGTCCATGTGATGTGGTCAGCACTCCAAGGCAGAAAAAAATCGGATGACTGCCGTCTGACAGACTTCTTTACTCCTGCGTTGACTAACGGTGCTTGTAAAATTGTCCACTGAACACGACCGGATCTGTGGGACCGCAGTCTTGAGGCAGAAGGTTGAGAGAGACCCAGGATCTGTGCTCACACAATGGGGAAGGCCTGCCTTTTGGGGTCTCTCAGACAGTGCAGTTAATCTGTGCTTATATAGTGGGAAGGAAGGACATAGGCCTTGACAGGGTGGCAAGATGAACCAAGAGCTGCATTTTATGTATCTGAAAGTAAGTACTGCATTCATCTCTAGTCCATTCTGTTTATTTATGAAAATTAAGTGTTTTTGGATTAGCCTTGGCAGTTTATTTCCTCCCGATATAAAGAAAATATTGGATGCTGTTGTTTTATTATTAGATGTTTTGAAATGTTTTTTATAATATAATGTAGTCATTGGGCTAGTTGTTGAATTAGCGGGAAACTTGTTGCCCAGGACAGTCACACCCAGGAAAGCTGTTTTGGGGGGGGAGGGGGTTGCACTTTAGTGTAATGGGTATTTAAAGAACCTTCTGTGAACACCCTTAGTCTTATAGAACCGGAGAGGTCTTCTGTGTTTGTGAGAACTGCTTGTTCAGTCTGAGTTTGATGGTGCTGTGAGTTGATATTAGGTAGAATGACTTGTGTTACGGAGTCTGTTGGTGTGAAGTTTTGCAGGATGTTGTAGGTTCCCTACTAGTCATCTGTTTGCTCAATCTCGTCTCTCTGAATGTGTGGTTGAATATTGTGCATGATCCTTGTGCTTCTGGGAAAGTTCGTCATTTGTGATCCCATGTTATCTTAGTTGGCATCTCCCACCCACCCTGCTTGAGTTCATCCAACATCCACAAACTTATCCTGTTTGCTCCTGGGAATCAGACCTGGAAGGCTGGCTGGCTGCCTACTTCCACCACCAGAGATCCTTTGGACGCTTACTGGCTTATTACCCCCCCCACCACACACACACACACACACACACACACACTTCATTTTAATGTCTGGAGTTCCTATGTCAGGAGTATTTAAACTGCTGGAGAATTACAATAATCTCATTTGCAGGTTCTTTTTGATTTTTTTAAATAACAACCAGTTTAACATCATTAATCTTGGAGAGTACCTCAGTCTTTCTTGCAATTTGCTTGGCATAGGGTGATTGTTGCCAAGTAGCTCCTTCCTTCCTTAGTGGTTTGGTGTTTTGTTATGTTTTTAGTATGTGAAAGTAATGGCTTTAATTTGTCCCTGTGCATGAGAAGAACCATAAAAAAATTGCAGGGAATGAACACGAGGTCAGCAGTCGTGCAGCTCTGACTGCAGCAGATTGTCACATGGATCACCATCATGTGATGAAGCATTTGGAGGTTTACTGTGGATACATTCGGCTGCCTCAAACGTTCTGGAGATGCGGCGGGTGGATTCTTGGTGGGGGGGACGCTGATGTGCCAATGAACATTTCTGAAGGGTTTAGATGGAAGATGACACAGCCTGAGTGAGGTGCTGATCCTTCCTAAATATGTAGTTTGATTTTGGTTGCATCTCTGTTAATGATATTCTTAACACATACGTGGTGAGACTATTTGTCTGTTGAAAGACAGGTAACGCAAATGATGCAGCGTATTTGCATTTCAGACTTGACAGGCTCACACTTTGACTTTGTGCAATAAACTTTTCATAGTTTAGGAAAGTAAATTCTTTTTGATATGATAACAGTATGGCTCTTTGTATGCCCCAGTTAAAAGTGATTCTGGACAGGACTCGAGCTCTGTGATTCGCTCATTTGACCTGCCCACATGACCAGCTGTGTCATGGTGCAGTAACTGGCAATGTATTGCCCACCACCTTTGGCTTGGAATGTGCTTGCTGAATTTCAGATGACAGTCTGTGATATACAGTATAATCATGCGTTCATTTTACTGTGGTCCTGAAATGGATTCTGAGCAACTCCACCCGTTGTCTGAAGCAGCCTCACTCACACAACGGTAAATCAGCTGTTGCCCGTGTAATTTTGTAAGGGAACCATGGAAACTATATTTAGCTGAAATCCTCAAATGATGACGACATAGTTCTCCTGCAGTTGGCAGAGGCGTTTCCTCGCTAGTTAGCCCCTTCTTGTTATTTTATGTACGTCACAATCATGCATTATGTCCTCTTATGTTTATGGAAAACTGGCTTTTGCGTGGGTTCCCGTTACATTTTGCTGTGGTGCTTGGTGTTCCTCTCTGCCTGAGGTCTGACTTGGACCTCAGTGGCCATGGTGTGGAAGGTGCGCCTTGTCCCTTGTTAACAGTGATTTTCCTACACCGTTCTTCCCACGGACAGTGCAGGGTGTGGAGTGCCAGAGAGGGAAAACAAGGCCTGGATTTTTAAGCGAATGCTTTGGGACTTATGAAAGTTAATTTGATAATTCCGTCTTGGCTGCAATCAGATTTTGCAAGCAGATTTGCAAAACCTTCCCCTCTAAACTTGTACTTAAGGCTGAACATTTCCTGCTGTTGAGATGGCCTGCCGATGTTCCCTCCTTCACTCGCTGACTTCAGTCCGGTGTTTTGTTGGAGCCTGTTGCAATGCCTCACTCATCCATTATCCAGCCACTGATTCCATGATACCTTCATTCAGTTAAATTCAGCTGAAATTCAAATTTATTTGTATAGCGCATTTCCACAACATTACATTGTCTCAAAGCACTTCACATTATCCCTGCCCAAAACCCCCCAGAGAGCAAGCTAACTCTAACCAGACCCAAAGGGGGAGCCCATCCTCCAGGGGCCGGCAGAGGAAGCCCAAACCCCAACCAGATCCAAAGGGGGAGCCCGTCCTCCTTGGGCTGGCAGAGGAAGCCCAAGGCTGGCTGTTCTTCCTCCTGTAGTTCTGGTCAATTCACGACCATGAGTGAGTGTGATGGGGGAGAGTGGCAGACTGGGCACCGGAGGGACAGAAGCGGGGTCATCCCAGCATGGGTCTCCCCGGCTGGTCAAGGGGTCGTGATGCTCTATGTCACAGCGAGGATTATCGTATCCTCCTCCTGTGCACTGGGTGGGTTCATTAACCTGGTCAAGCCAGTTCCACCTGCCGGGTTAAATTTCATTTATATGTGTCCCATAATGCTCCGGCTATGCTGTGCCCTTGTCTTGTTGCGCTCCTGCAGAAGTCGTCTGCTGACGTGTGTTTTTCTTATGAACGCTGTACTCTGGGAATTCCTGTGTGTTTTTAAGCCCTGCTTAATTGTTATCCATAGTGATCCAGGCCGCTTTATTTTGTGCCCGGCAGCTGGGTGCTCATCTCTAGGCACTGCTGCCCTTCTGGAGCTGTGATAGCTCTGTAATAACCCCTCCATATTTACCCCCCATCTTCTCACTCCCTCTTGGTTTCTGTTGCGGCAGGTTAGGCTCCCTTGAGAGCCCCCCACCCTCGCAGGTTGAACACAGAGGTGTTGTTTGATGGGACTGCTCCATCCTGATTTCCCCTTGCGCCGCTCTCCGTGTTCCCTGCACAGCACCGCTGGCTGCGTCATCAGTTGCTGTTGTCTTGACTACGGTCTTGTGACTGGGAGGTTTTCGGCTTTTATCCGAGTGATTAGCCCAGCGTCTGATCTAATGTGAGTCATCAGGCAAGGCCCAGTGATGCTGCTCCAGCATACTGGTCTCGGCCCAGTTGTTTAGCTTTAGTCGTGGGGATATAGGGAAGCGTTTAATTCTGCCTGGTGACAGAAGCATGTGGTCATTCAATGAGTCTTTGGAAATGATGCAGGCAAAATGAGCAGTTCTTTTGTAGGCTGTGTGTAAGAGATGACCTGACACTGAGCATGTGCACTGCTCCCTTCTATTGCTGGATACTCTCTTGAATCTGCTCTGTTGTGCCGTGGCCAAAAAGATGCAGCTGTTCAGGTTGTGTGCTTGAGTCAAAATACCGTTACCAGTCGACTCACAGGATCAGCAACTTCAATCAGCGCAGGATCAGCAACTTCAATCGGCGCAGGATCAGCAACTTCAATCGGCGCAGGATCAGCAACTTCAATCGGCGCAGGATCAGCAACTTCAGGGCTATGCTGGGGCTTAATAGCTTCCATTAAGATCCTGTTTGTTCATCCTCAGCTGAAAAAGTGAACAAATAGCAGTAATTCCCCAGATTCAGCTGATCTTAACCCCTACTTTCGTTTCTGCTCATCTTGGATCTCGGAGCCAGTACAATATTTTTTTCATCACTTGACTTGAGAGCGTTGAAGGATCAGGGTGCGTGTTGAGCCATTTTCTGATTTTGCTGGCTTGTTGACAGCGTCCCTGTCTGGCTTTGCACAAACTTCGATGGCGATTTACATGGCAGAAAGGTGTGAAGTCGAAAGTGCTGCACTTTCTGCATGAGAAGCTGATCTACAGCCTTGGGGAGATCTCTCCCGATTCTTAAAGCGGTGTATTTACCTAAAACGGTTTATTCGTTACAAAGTAACGGCAATTCTAGTCCATCATGAGGCATACCCACAAGCATATGGTAGGGGCAGTGTTTGAGTGGACATGTCTTTGAACCATGGGAATGGACAAACTACACACACAGTTACACAGCCAGGGCCAAAATCGCACCCACAACCATGGAGGTGTGAGGGCACATAGCCACCCAGTAAACACAGATGGAGCTGAGATGACAGTTTGCTGTGTTCTGTTGTAATGCGCTTTGGTAGAGTTTGCCTTGCCTTGCCTGCATCATCTGGTTTGGTTATGTGACTGGGATGGTTACAGTATATTAGTGTAGGTCTGCTATGACTGTTGTCGTTGACGCGGTATCAACACGCTGTGTACTTTTATTCCGTGCCATTTTTTCCGGCAGCTGCTTCCTAATCTCAGCGTTTCTGCAGACAATTGCCCAGTCCAGTCGGCAGCCTCATCGAAGCCACCAAGCCTGCTTCTCTCCAGCTGGCTCTTGTGACCGGTCTCGCCCCTCGAGGTCAGGGGGTGGGGTTTGAGCTCAGAGAATCTTTTCACTCGACTGGTGTCACTATGTTGGTTGTCATTCAGGGACTGTATATACTGTATTAATGAATCTTTTAAAATGTAATTTTCATGTGATGTATGAAGAGACCTTGACTTTACCCTGTAATTCAATGTGTAAGAAGTAATAAAAAAATACTCTAGGTTTCTGTATGTTGGCCTACATGAAGATTAATGGTTGCACAGAGAACAGTGAAGAATTATGTCTTGTTCCATTTATCCAATGTAGATTTGGCACTGGTATATCTCAAGGTGTGATAGAGTAGCTTCATCTGGGTGGAGAAGCCAGTTATCTGCTGTTCTCCTTTGGGTTTTGGTAGTTTCCTGTAGTTATGCCCTGGAGTCAGAAGCTGCTCTACTGTGCTCCTGGTCAGCTACCAGCTGCTGTTCCCTGCTTTCTCTGGAGATCAGTTGGGAACCTCTCTCCTATATCTGCCACGTTGTAGTTCTGGAGCTTCATGTTACCCTGAGTGAGCCAACTACAGTGCAGGCTCTGCTGCCCCAGTTCTAGCCGACCCTGCTGCCTTTAGCACCTCCACGCGGCTCAGCAGTTTGGACCTGGAGCCTGTTCTCAGCTGCCCAGGAAATCTGACAGGTGACACCCAAGGTTCCTCAGCAGGAATGTAATAGGAACACTCAGCAACCCAGGGGTTTGATGTTCTACATCGGACGTGCCTCCGTCAAGCGTGCCTGTCTGAGCCTGAGTGAGCGTTCGCACACGTTGGAGTGATTGGTATTTGTTTGAGCACTCCGGAACATTTATGCATGGTGAGTAATGAAGAACAAATGCTAGCCCTTTAAAAATTATATACTTATTCCCCCCAGTGTTACCATAGGAACTGCGGAAACAGTCTTGCCATTGCCCATTGTGGTTAGCACACCTCCCGCCGGGCTTGGTGTAGCTCTGCGGTGACCCAGTGATCCATGTGGACACGTTATTTCCGTTGACTAGCGTGGAGCATGAAAGGTGCATTTGTCTGGCTGTGGACACCAGCGTCGTTGGGGAGTTTGGCTTCTTCAGGGGCTGCTGTCTGGATTCCACCACCATGTGACTGGATCCTTAAATCGATGCTTTTCACATTCCTGCGGATCAGCTGATACCTCCAGCCCTAAAGAGCAGTGCTCTGTCTGACTTAAAGGGAATTTTTAAAGGTGCATCTATTTGGTTTTTTTCCCCCCTCACTAGGTTGTCTCTGCCTGAAATGTATGTATTATATATTTGTACTTCTATATTTATTTGGTTTTGTATATGAAGTTTTAATTATGGTTTCTTAAGTGCATATTAAACCCTGGAAGTCTGGGCACATTTTGTCTCTCAGACTTGTTCAAGCACATGACCAAAACATGCTTGTGCCTGATTTTTTTTTTTTTTACGAGGTTATCCAGAGACTGAGCCCCAGCTTCTTGTTAGTTTGGACGGCCAGTCAGCGCATGTTTTAAGGCCCCGACTCGGGCACTTGCGTCCATGTGCGCACCCCTGTATGGCCCCTCCACGCAGCCAAGGGGTTTTGTCAGCATTCTTGCCGTCTCCGGGGCAGCTGGGTGCAGTTAATGCGTGGCGTGCGGGTGACCACAGCGCTGATGCATGTCCCGGGTGCCCCGTCCCTGCAGTACGCCCGGGTGTGGATCCCTGACGCCGAGGATGTGTGGAAATCCGCAGAACTCGCCAAGGACTACAAGCAGAAGGACACTGCGCTGCATCTGCAGCTGGAGGATGAAACGGTGAGCAGGACGCGGCCCTGATGGGGCTCCACCTCAGGAGGGGCTTCCAACTTGTAAAATAAACAAGTAGTCAAAATCTTCAGGGGTCTCCCTGAACCTTCTCATCCACCAATGGGGGGTCTATAAAGGGGTGTGTCATTGCTGTGTGCACCAGTGGGGCCCAATAATATGGCCATATATAGATACACATGTGGCACTGACATGAATCTGCAGGCTATTACACATCATTTATCAATTCCTGCTCTGCCGTGGCGTATCTGTCCGGAAAGGAGATGGCAGTCTTCTCTGCACTTCTCTCCCTCTCCCTCTCCCTCTCCCGTCGCCACATCTGGGGCACAAATGAAAAATTCATTGAGTTTGTAGAAGGCTTTGGTGGGGATTGGGCCACGGCTAGTCCTCTGATTGGCTGATGGTGGGGTGGCTGTACACAGTGCATGAAGAAGCTCTAATCTGTGTTTATAATCAGACAGTGTAGCTGTGTGGTGAAAACGTAAACGAATCTTTAACACCACCCTTCTTTTTAAATCTCATCCCTTTGTAGACTTTGCAGTACAAATTAGACCCCAAAACGAAGAACTTGCCTCACCTCCGGAACCCTGACATCTTGGTGGGGGAGAATGACCTCACGGCCCTCAGCTACCTGCACGAACCTGCCGTTCTCCACAACCTCAAAGTTCGCTTCATCGACTCCAAGCTCATTTACACTTACTGCGGTGAGCCGGGCCACGTTGCCATGGTGCCTTCGTGGCTTGTTTTACACGGGTTTCTGCTGTATGGTTGACTTGGTTCCGGTGCATCGACAATTGTACAGTATGTGTGGCCTGCTCAATGTGCTTAAATGCGTCTCCTCTTCACGCATGGTTAATCTTGCGCTTTGATGTGATCTCGTCCTTAAGATGCCCCCCCCCCCCCCCCCCCCGTGAGCATGCTGGTTGGTGGCGATTCATGCTTTTCATTCATCTCCGCTCCCAGGTATCGTCTTGGTGGCAATCAACCCGTATGAAACCCTCCCCATTTATGGATCGGACATCATCAATGCCTACAGTGGGCAGAACATGGGGGACATGGATCCCCACATCTTCGCGGTGGCAGAGGAGGCCTACAAGCAGATGGCCAGGTGAGGGAGGCAGTGTGGGCCAGCTGGAAGGAGCATGGCCTCCTACCCAGAGGGTTGTGTGTTCCAGGCCTTTTTGGGAGGACCATTATGTGAAAGGAATAAGGTGTTTAACCTGAAAATTACTCTATTATCTGGCCAAATGTTAATGTTCATCTGGACTTATGCGCAACTTTTTTTGCCGTTGAAATCTGCCCCAGAGGTAAGGCAAGGTCTTTTAAAACCGAAGATAATTTAATTACACGAATCGCAGATTAAGGCAGATCTGTGTGAACGGAGCCGTAAGTCAGGGCTCTGTTGCTCAATTTCTGTGCGCCAGGGATGAGAGGAACCAGTCCATCATCGTGAGCGGGGAGTCTGGAGCTGGGAAGACCGTCTCTGCCAAGTACGCCATGCGCTATTTCGCCACCGTCAGCGGCTCCGCCAGCGAAGCCAACGTGGAGGAGAAGGTGCTGGCATCCAACCCCATCATGGAGGTGAGCCGCTCTGGGCGTGTTTGTTTTGTGTCCATTTTGACACGTTTAGGTCGGGGGATGTTTCGCGGTCAGCTGGCAGGCTGCTGTGGCCCATTTTGATATCTGTGCCATGTGTCACCCTGAGTTGGTGGGGTGAGCTGTTGGATGCTGGAGAGCGTTTGCAGCGTTTCCCTGGACGACCTTGCGATATCGCTACACAGGCTGAATGATAAAGAATGTGTGGCATGTGGCCAGAGCTGGGGAAATGGGGATAATATCAGAATGCAGAGGACAGGGGAGGAGCCAGTGAGGTGAAGGTGCCCTTTAAATGCTTCGCAGTGGCCACGCGTGACGTCAGACGTGCGTAGAGGAGTAGCTGAGGTGAAATACAAAAGGTAATAGTGAGAGGAGGGTAGCAGTGGCATGGAGCAGGTGGGAGGCAGATTAAAGCTCCAAGTGCACATGTGTGAGACACTTGTGGGGTGGGAGGGGCAGAGACCGGAAACGGTGCCCCCATGGTCACAAGCTCCGCTTCCTCTGAGTCAGGGAGGCTGTGTCATCCTGTCTGTGACACACCCAACCAGGGCAGTAGAAACCTGTAAACTGCTTAGGGTTGGGGGGGGGGGGGTCTTTTGGGGCTGGGAGGCAGGGAGCTGGGTGGGGTCTTTGGGGGGTCAGAGGTGGGTGGGGTCTCTAGGGGCAGGGAAGGGGGAGGTCTCTTTATGGGGTGGGGAAGGGGGCGGGTAGTGCGTGGCATGCGGGAGCTGGCGTCCACCAACAGGGTGGCTTCTCTCTGTGTGAGTCACGCAAGAAATATGGAGAAGTCTGATTCACGCCTGTTTCAAAATAACAAACAAGGAGACCCCTCTGCTCAAGCCTGTCATGCTGATTATCAGACACTGTCTGCTGTCATCAACCCAAGAGGTCCTCACCTGCCTGTGGAATTCCTAATGCATTTAAACCCCCATCTGCTGTAAATTTATCCCCGTTTACTGTATTAATAGTATATTAATGTCGGACTGAGCTGGTGACTGACTGCTCCAGCAGCGAACGTGATCATTCCCATAACGAAGTCTTGGGTGCGTTCTTGCACATGTGCAGTTCAGGAGTGATACACTCTGCCCCCTACAGCTCAAAGAGTGAAGGGCCAGTAACCCTGGTGCTGCAAAGGCAAAAGGTACGACTTCGTTCCTGGTCAGCTCTTCATTAATCAGCCTTGATTGAGTGTGATGCTTAAGCACAATCACTAAATTAAATAAAATGAAATAACTAATAGTGAAAAGAGAAATGTTTGTTTTAGCCTTTATTTAATCGGCCATTTGATCAATGAGGACTGGATGGTTTTGTAAATCTTCACCAGTTAAACAATTGACTCGTTTAAGTAGTTAAATGCTAATTTATCCTGCTTTAAGCCTCAGAGATGAAGAGACGATGCGATCAGACAGCCTGTAGGGGGGTGAGGACCCTGTCATTTTGTGCTCGTCTCGGCCTGTGTTCACTTCTTTCGGGGCAGACATTGCCGTAGGCCTTTTTTGTTAGCACACACAGCTGCTAAAATATGGCATCCGCTGCTGTGTGACACGACATACATGCTTCAGGACACCCCCCCCACAGGAAAACAGGGCCATTTCTCAGATGGCAGGAGGAGACAGGTTCGATTTATATCTAGCTGCCATTTTGGCATTGCCAGCCTGTGGCTAAAAGCTGCCTGGAGTCGTCCCCCCCCCCTAGGCTGGCCATGGGCACCAGCACTTCTGTATGACCTCCGCATGTGGCGGGAGACGCGGACGTCGGCACGCTGACCAGCAGCGCGGCTCTCCGGGTAGCTCGTCGCTGATTCGCCCAGTTTCCTCTGAAGCAGACAGGCAGCCCCTAAGAGAGACGGTGTCACCTCGGGAAGCGTTCGTGCTCAAGATCCGTTTAGGCTGTTGCGCGGAGTGGCAGTGAAATTTTCAGGGGGGGGGGGGGGGGAGGTTTTTAAACAGACCGGGAGGGCCAACTTTTAATTACGGTTTTCCTGAAAATGCCTTCTGACATATTCTACCAAGCTGCTAATTAACGGAGCAGACCCCAGAGGGGCTGAACCACACGTCGTCATGTGATCATGCTGTGGAATTAAAAAAAAAAGCGTCAGTGCTGACAGTTCACCTGTCTGTTGGGGATGTTAGTTATTCGGGGGGGGAGCCTTCCTGCTACTAGAGGCACCTGTGATACTGGTGCTGATTAAATCTGATTTTGTCAGATTGAGGTGTTGGAGTTCTGTGTAGCCTCCACTAAAAACAGAATCACTTAGATTCTGTGAAAGTGGGGTGCGATAGCTGTAAATCACGCCTTGACTCTGTGCCTTTCCGTAATCCTTAACCCTTGCTCCGGTGGGCGCCGTGGTTCCATATGCCGCGCCTGCCCTCCGTGAGACCCTCCGTGCTGCCTCGCTTCCTCCACCATCTGGCACCGACGTGTCCGTTTCCCCGCCCCGTTTCATCCAGGCTATCGGAAATGCCAAGACCACCAGGAACGACAACAGCAGCCGTTTCGGGAAGTACATCGAGATTGGCTTTGACAAGCGGTACCACATCATTGGGGCCAACATGAGGACCTACCTGCTGGAGAAGTCCAGAGTGGTTTTCCAGGTAGGTGGCTGAAGGGATGCTCTCACTGAGGAGGATGTGCTGGTGTGGAACACGGTTCTCTTCCTTCTATACCCAGAGGAATGTGCACCGAGACTTTAACCGCGCCCACCATGCTAACGCTGCGTCGCCGTCGCACGGCTGCACGCATGAGAAGCTTTCTGGATACGTTCCTGAATTAGACTCATAGTGTACTTTCATGGCCATTAAAGTTCCTGAAATGTTGTTTTCAAAAGCAGGGGCTGTGATGCAGACTGCCGGCCCCTGTCTGTGTGTCCCTGGGGGCGGGGCCCCTGTCTGTGTGTCCCTGGGGGCGGGGCCCCTGTCTGTGTGTCCCTGGGGGCGGGGCCCCTGTCTGTGTGTCCCTGGGGGCGGGGCCCCTGTCTGTGTGTCCCTGGGGGCGGGGCTTAGGCACAACCTTCAACATCAGAGGGGGTTGTTGAGTCCCAGTGGGCAAGTTTTAATGTCTTAGGGCAAATTTAAAGGAAAAACTGTGATTATCGAGACATCTCCAAAAATCAAGCCTCTCCAAGTTTGTTAATAGTACTTACAAAGATGATTTGTGTACTTAAAATTTAATAATACAATTGTATCACATTGTGGCAGAATTTTGTTGAGATGATGATTAGGGTCATTCACTGTGACTGTGTGTGTGTGTGTGTGTGTGTGTGTGCACATTTTCTCATCCTGCCTGTTTAGTCAGCTGGTTCGAGGTTCCCGTCGAAAGGACTGACTTGTGGTTTCGTAGTATCTGTTATTCTGTCCGAGTGTCCCTGTGGTATTGTGCGGCGTGCACTGCAGTGTTTCGATGTCGGGGGGAGGGGCGTCACAGTACCTTTGCGGAGTCCAGATAACGGTTAAATATTATCACCCCTGGTTATGTAAAAGCTGTGATTTACCCGGAGTACTAATGCAAATTCCTAACAGGTGGAGAGCAGGAATCTTTTTGTTTGTCTGCTATTAAGGTCCATTTGCAATGAGCAGTTACACCACATCTTTACCAAAGTATCAAGTTGGTATTGTTATTTTTAACCAAACACAGTTAGTGCAGTACACAGTTAAAAATGAAACAGCGTTTCTCTCGGATCAAGGTGCTACATACGTTAACACAAGAGTGAATTCGGGTTGAATCCAGGCTGAAAGCCGTCACATTCCTTTCTGCACTTTGCCATAGCTTGTCTGGTGAGGAATTGTGAGACATTCAGAGTTTAAAATCCAAGTCATAAATCAAACTTACTGCTGGTTAAGTTGACTTCCAAGTCTTTTCTCCCCTGAGTCTGAAATGACCTTTTTTTGTATTTCATTTGTAGGCAGATGAAGAAAGAAACTATCACATCTTCTACCAGCTGTGCGGCTCTGCCAATTTGCCGGATTTCAAAGACCTAAAATTAGGTGCATTTTTATGTTTTTATTTTCTTTTCAACAAAGGTGGTAGGCAGGTGTTTGTGTCCTTAACCTCTGTGTTGGGTTTTGAAAACATCTTTTACAATTTTAATTGATATCAAAGAATTAACATGTCAGGGGCAGCTGGCTCCATAGTTCTATTAAAAGCTTTTTTGTAAAGGAATCATTCCTCTCCTGAAGTGGTAGAGAAGCTGTTGTGTGTTGATGGATAGCAGTGGGGAGTGGAGCTTATCCTCATGCTCCCACAGTGAGCAGACACCTGCCCTGGCTGCCATAGCAACATGGCCCTGGTGACAACACTGCCACACTGCCTCTCTGTTTCCCCCGGCATCCTGCCCAGTGGACGCCCCTTTATTGGGTGATCCAGTGGGCTCCCGTTGCTCAGCAACAGGGGCTCTTACATGGCCTTCCATTGCTGTCCTACCAACCCATGAGACTGATGTTGTACCTCAAACTTGCTTCTGTCTTGCTGTATAATTGCTGTGGCTATGCGTGAAATGTCCAGAAAGGTTTTACATGGCTGTTTGCTCTAGATTGTGAAGCAGTGTTTCCCAACCCGGTCCTTGGGACCCTCAGACGGTCCATGTTTTTGCTCCCTCCCAGCTCCCTGCCAGACAGTCCACATTTTAATTACCGGGAAAAAATGTGGATTGTCACCGTTTCCCAAAAAAAAGCTGTTTGCTTAGGTGTCATTAGGTAAGCCTGTAAGACACCCATTTGATCAATAGTTTGTTTGATTATGGCATCTGAATTGCTGTTGCGTTAATCAGTCATGAGCAGTGAAATATAATCAAACTGAGCAGAAGAGTTACAATCAGAAAAGTACGAGTGCGATTTTGTGCTTAGAGAACATGCCGGAACAGGCCGCATGTGTCCTGGCAGTACCTTGTCGTCATGACACTGTGTTTCCGGCCTGCAGCCAGAGCAGATAACTTCCACTACACAAACCAGGGCCGGAACCTCATCATCGACGGCGTGGAGGATGCAAAGGAGATGCTCACCACACGCAATGCCTTCTCCTTATTAGGTGAGGTCTGCAGGACTTTGAAATAGTCAGGGTTGGTTGTCTTTTTTAAATCCCTTGTTTTAACTATGAAATAGCAACGTAAACAAGATTTCTCTGCAATACATACTGTTTTGTGGGTTAAATGTACTGATGGGGAAAAAACTTGAATGCTCTACAAACCTTCAAAAAATAAACTGTAACCCTTTACATTAACCTCTAATGTTACATTCAGTATTCATTCTTAGAACATTCATAAGCAGCATGTATGTATACCTTAACAGTTTTGATAGACATTAACAGCAAACATAATTATAATGTTCATCATATGATGTTTGTTATTAATGTATATTAAAGCTGTTAATGTATGTTAGGATGTATAGTTAGGTGATACTGCGAATGCATTATGAAGGTGCACTGAATGTTCTACAAATGCATTTTAAAGGCAATATGAATGTGCACTTACTGCAAAGCCTTACCCAATAAACACTGAACTTCTTACCTTTGGATGATGGTGATCGTTGACTTCCCACCAGGAATCAACGAATCCTATCAAATGGGACTTTTCAAAGTCTTGGCTGCTATTCTACATCTTGGCAACGTGGAGGTGAAAGACAGAGACTCAGACAGCAGCAGCATCCCGGTAAGAGCAGTGTGATTGGATAGCATTACATCATTGATACTGCGAGACGTCAACAGCCTAATTATACAACAGCCTATTTATAAAAAATAAAGCATTTTATTTTCTTCAAAGCTTCAGTTGTAGTGTGAATACTTGTCCTTATATAGTATATGTAACTGGTTTATCTGCGTTGTGCGAATTTTCTGTTAAACATACTGATGCCATGTCCTGATAGCAAATTAACAATACAAAATAAACAGATTTTGTGTAATTATACACTGGGGGTGGGGAAGGCACCATCAATGCGTGGTGATGTCATGCCACTTAAGCAAGGTATGGCTAATCAAGTTAGGAAAAGTTGGGAAAGAGGAATAAAAAAGAGGAGTGGAATGTCGGAACCAGCCAAGGCATCGACAGGAGAGGAGACTCTGGTTCACTGAAAGGGAGGCCCCCTCTGTTGTTACAATGCAGTGTCACCTCCCCTCCTTATTTACTTAAGTTACTCCGGATTACACATCATTTAAACATTTTGCAGTACAGACGCCTCAGCCCTCCCGGAAGTTCCGGGAGTCTCCCGTGTCTTGGCAGCGGCTCCCTGACGCCCGCTCTCCTTCTCCAAAGATGCTAGATAAGCTCTAGGCCCTCTTCTCTCTCTCTCTCTCTCTCTTCCTTTACTCAAATCCAAATGTCCAGGCTATTGTATATAATCTGCAGATGTCAGGGAGCCACTATCAACATGCAGGAGAGTCCCGGAACTTGCGGGAGAGGTGGTGTGTCTGTACTGTCCGTTTTTGTAGCTGCATCCTTGATGCTTTTATTTCTGTGTTTTTGTGTTCCCTGATACACTTTGGCTCTTCATTTGGTATGGCAGAACTGGTCATTTTGATTTTGTTGTGACGCATAAAAGTTAATTATCAAGATTTTCAGGCTTTTTGCAAAATAAATACTGTTGATACCCTCCCATGTGTCCCAATTGAAATTGATACATTCCATGTAGTTTAATATATTATTAAAATATTTTTATTTACATAAAGGGACAGGACATGCCACTCCTCCCAAAACTTGGAAAAAAATGTGATAACGTGATATAATACTGTCATTGTTCAAAAAGTGAAAAATACCTTGATGATAATTTTAGGTCATATCGCCCACCGATAGTTACCTTTAACTGGCCACATGCACCAGTCCCAGATAATCCTTAAATTATTAGACTCCAGGCTACAAAGCTAAATGGATTTAAGTCAAATGACATATTGGATTTTACAGTGATTAGTTTCAGCAAATGACATTATTGCAAATGTCTGTAGGACCACAATACCGTGTGATTGCAGTTGAGGCCAGTAGTGATTTGCTTGATGGGTTCTGATATTGCAGCCCACTTGTGTGACACGTATTATAACTCTGCATAATGCTCAGTCACTGCACATGATAGCCTTGAAAAAGATTCCAGAGCAAACATGCATGAATTCCCCAGCGTGCTTGCGTTGGCCGCCCTGGTGGAGTCCTTATCGCTAGCACAGCCAAGTTGTTGACCCAGGGTGGTGGGAGTGTAACGTAACTTACACTTATGTAAGTCGCTCTGGCTAAGGGCGTCTGCCAAATGATGTAAATGTAAATGTAAATGTGTCACTTTTCATATCCAGTGGTCAGTCTTCCCTGCAAAGCTCGGGGTGGGAGAAACCTTGGGTAAATATTTTAAGTCCACGTTCTTGTTCCAGCCGAACAACAAGCACCTGACCGTCTTCTGTGACCTCATGGGGGTTACGTACCAAGACATGTCCCACTGGCTGTGTCACAAGAAGCTGAAGACGGCCACGGAGACCTACATCAAGCCCGTCCCCAAGCTGCAGGCCATCAATGCCCGCGACGCCCTCGCCAAGCACATCTATGCCAAGCTCTTCACCTGGATCGTGGACCACGTCAACGAGTCCCTCCACTCCACGGTCAAGCAGCACTCCTTCATTGGAGTGCTTGACATCTACGGGTACGTTACCAAGAACTAGAACAAGCCCTAGAACAGTAAACTCGGAACAAGTAGGAGGTAGTAGGTGTTAGTGGTTCTGAATCCAAGACCAAAACCGCAGTACCATCTTGTGTCGCAGTTCTGGAAGACAGAACCACAATATTCATCCCCCACCCCCCAACCACAACCCTCAGCCACAGATGCAGTCTGTTGAGCTCTCATTACGTTACAATTGTCACAAAACTCATTTTTCATTTCACAATTAACACTATAACACATGTAAATCACAAAATTATTAATCTGTTTAAAGTTAGGGCAAGCCGAGTATTTAGTAAACATTACACCTTCTCATCGTCTTCAACTGTCACGTGTCTTTTTCTGTCCAATCATGGTCAAATGATCACACCAGCAGTAAAAGCTACGCTGGTTTCATTAGCTCAAGAAGGATAGTAAGGTTGCAGAGCCCCTGTTGTGGGAATATTTTGGTTATCCAGTAGAGTATGGTGGTTTATTTTGTAATGATTTCTGTTTTTTAAAGTTACTTTATATGAAGTTAGATTACCTTAACCTTCTTTAGTGTTCCAAACTCTTGGTGATTAATAAAACCCAGATGTTTTTCCTCCCCGTTTTTTCTTATTCACCCCTCACCCCCCCCCCC